AGTGAGTGAGCGATAATTTTGTATGGACATTTTATTGATTTTCTCATGCTATATTAAAAGAGAGTTCAAATTCTTGTATTCTGGCTGATCTGTGCGTATTTTGAAACTACTGGTAAAGATTTCAATGGAATCTGATTGGGGGAAATCCGTGAATATGCTGATTTCTTCGACACCTTTCGGCGAGCTGTTTACAGTGGATTCACGACAACGAAACGCCGAAATCAGGGCTTTTACGTCTCTGTTTGTTTAAACAAAACAACATTACAAAAGAATCATGTTTAAAAACAATACAACAAAGCCGTCGGGAAAGAAGAAAGACGTCCAGGTGCGAGAATGTAACCTGATACCAATGTCAATCTCACCTTTGATTATATGACATACTATTAGTAATTATTAGATATGAGATAAATTCTAAAAGTAAGCGAATCCAAAGGGTATATAATATTGAGAGATATTGAGAGTTTCAGTTGTTCTCATTGGCAGTACTACCCCCATAGCCAACTGAGAGCAAAACACAAGTAGAAGGAACAGTATCTGCAATGCAGTTCAATAATCTTAAAAACCTGCCTGAAGTATTTGATAAATGTTTGTGACTATCAATCAAATTCATCAAAATAGCTCAAGAAACTCATCAAAACTTCACCAGTGGTATAAAAGAACAAATTATGTAAAACATATTCTCTCTAATAATGGAGTTGATGTATTGAACTCACTAGAATAAAAAATAAAGACATAAACTCTCAATACATCTTCAAAAAACAAATTCAGCAGCATTTTTTGATGAAAACATTCTATTTGCATATTATTCTATTTGCATATTATTGTTCCTCTATTACTCTGAAAATGCTCTCTCTGATTTGACTGTAAAATAAAATAAAATATTATAAATCTAACAGTTAACTATAAACCTTTACTAGGGGCCTAAAGCAAAAAGCCTAACAAAGTATCTAATAGGTCTTTAGCCAAAATTACTATAAGGAAAAATATGTAAATATTGTCTATGGAACTGTACATAGGGGAGAAAAATTAAAACTAAGTCAATAAATAATAAAGAAACTCTTTCATTGGTAATATTTCTGTCCTCAGGTTTTCTGGGGTCAAATTCTTCCCTCACTGTTTAATTGCAGCCAGAATTTTGGTCTAAATATTAAATTTTTAACCTTGCATGCTTGGATTTACTTATTTTCAAGTTTCTTTGTTCTATCCTTGGGGAACACTGATACAGGCACACAGGCAGGGGAAATATATTGCTTGTTGACATGTTGTAAGCATAATTTATTTAATACATTGAAGACTGCAAGTAGATGATTACATGCTCAACTGTTCCAGCTGTTCAAGGACACACATCCACACTTTTATATGTGAGTCATCCTTTGTGATGGACATACTGAATTTACAAAAAAATGTCATGGTCTTGTCAATGGGGCATTTAGCGACATGAATTATATCAACAAATCCGCTCATCCAATATGAGTAGGCCCTCTCATCTTTGTATTTGCCAATATATTCAACATCGACTGCCTTTACTCGTAGAATGTATAGCATTCCATCATCAAGATGTGGCCATGTTTTTGAATGTCATCTTTCCAATATTCATCGCACAGAGTGCTAGCCTCGCACTTAATAATATAATTAGTTTGTAGCCATTGTTGGTATTCCTTCTTAATTAATCTATCAAAAATTTGTTCCTTGTAAATTTCATTGAAGCACCCAATTCATATGCTTTAATAAATGCTCTTGCCACAAGTTCAACCTTTTTCCCACTCTGTCAACCCACAGCCCAACGAAATCCTCGTAATATAATCCATTTGCAATATAATCCTCCTATGAGAACATAAGATATCAACAACTCAAACTCAATATCTCTGAATATATACCCTTTGAATTCGATATTAAAGGTGAGATTGACATTGGTATCAGGTTACACTCTCGCACCTGGACGTCTTTCTTCTTTCCCGACGGCTTTGTTGTATTGTTTTTAAACATGATTCTTTTGTAATGTTGTTTTGTTTAAACAAACAGAGACGAAAAAGCCCTGTTTTCGGCGTTTCGTTGTCGTGAACCCACTGTAAATAGCTCGCCGAAAGGTGTCGAAGAAATCAGCATATTCACGGATTTTCCCCAATCAGATTCCATTGAAATCTTTACCAGTAGTTTGAAAATACACACAGATCAGCCAGAATATAAAAATTTGGACTCTCTTTTAATATAGCATGAGAAAATCAATAAAATGTCCATACAAAATTATCGCTCACTCACTAGTAATTTGTATGGGAAACCATGACTGGCCGCGCGCTCGCCCCAATGTTTTGCACCCCCGGCAATATGGCGGAATAAACCTTGAAAGGGCCTATTGTTTCTATATGGCTGCATGTAACTGTCGTGACACTGTATATTTTCAGTTTACGTTCTTTACGCATTTGGACTATCTCCCATGCAAGCTCACCCCTTATCTTAACTCTATAATGAAAAAAATTATGTTTGAGCCATGTTAAAGATCTATTCTGGGGGACTCCGTATTAAACGACCACCCTGTATGAGGTAGCCACGTAAGCCGCGGAAGCATCCCAAACGTTTGTGGGTGGGGGGAAAGGGAGCACTGTCACACAAGGGCGATCCAGGAGCTCCTCGAATTTAAACAGCTAGGGGTGTCCGGTGTATACTCCCACGGAAATTTTTTAAATTTTGAACATCGGAAATGCCATTTCTTGCATTCCGAATGTAGGGTTTCTTCTTAAAAATTTTCCTTCAAAGAACCAGTTTTTCAGACAAAAAGTAACGACATACATAAAAAATATAGGGGGAGCGCCTCCTAAACTAAGAATAAATTTAAAATTCCCCACCGTTAGTTTGACTTGGACTACGTCTTTGCACTTTAACTTTTATGATTGATCTCATAACGCTTCCTAATAACTAACAATCCTTATCTTTATCTTGCATCTTTATCTAAAATAGAACATATTTTATAATCCAAAAAGGGCTCTTTGATTTGAAAAAAGGTACATTTTTCTGTTTTCAAAAAAGTGGAGGCACTGGCCTCCTTTTCCGCGTCCTCGAGTGCCCAACTACTCGTTCCGCAAGATCGATGATCATGAATGATCATTATTCAAAAATCATTAAGAATTCATGAGCAAATTAGCTAACCATTGCTTTAAATGATAATAGTGGATACATGGTGAAGTATATTGATCCCGTCCAAGGACTGGATCAAATTTATTAATTCTGTCCGTCGACTGGATCCAAGTTAATTCACCTCACTTTATTAAGTAGTAATTTATTCGTAAGAGATGTTATTTCAAGTTCGACCATCAGGACTGGACCAGATTTCAAGTCCTCGCATTTTGATCCAGGCTTCGCACTGGTCTTGATCAAATTGCTTGAAATTTAGTCCAGTCCTCATAGTCAGATTTGAAATATTACATACAAGTTCGAATATACAGAGATAATTTTATTGACTCAAAATAATGCCTATAACAAAATGCAGTTCCTACAAATGTAAACCCGAAATATATTCTTCTTCTATTCTGTTTAGGAAAAATCAATCTACCACCTAGTGGAAACAGATTGGCAATTTTACCTGGATCAACTGCGAAAATACAGTGGTCGTATGATGGTGATATATCTAAAGTGATTTATCGAGTATGGTATTTTAAAAGTAGTGGCCGTTCATCAAGAGAGCTACTTGCATTGATACGATTTGATAATAGCCCCCAAATACTAAACAGCACCTTACCTGGGGTTGAAATAGAAAAGCCAGCAACATTAGTTTTAAAAAACGTTGATCTCAGTTATAATGGAACATACTTCTTTCAACTAATTGGATCACCTGGCGGTGGTGAATCTGAAGTTTCCGTTTTTATTGCAGGCAAGTAGTTCAGATTCGGAGTTTTGTCTTTTTCGGCAACATTTGGCGGAGGAAGTGATAAATCTAAAGTAATTCCCAACGCTCAATGCGTCTAAGTTTTCCTTGTGTTTTCAGGTAATTGCATCCCTATCAATCCGAAGCTTTCTAAATCTAGAGTTGTGTCTTGCTGTTTTTTGTTACAGTAAAGTTTGGGAGGAGTAAAGCCTTTTCCTACAACATTTCAGGAGTAGCCTGTTTTCATGATAGCTTTTACAGGATTTAAAGTTTGTTCGTTCACTGCAACCAGGTATATCAATCATGCTTCGCTCGCTACTCTGGTTTAAATAAATTATTACAAATCCCAGTCGAATTGTAATCAAGACCCAACGTTTCGACACTCCAGTCTAGTGTCTTCATCAGGGGTGATCTAAAGTTGCAGTCGTGCCTTCTTAAATACCCAAGGGATGAAGTCACCTGCCAATGAGATGCATGTATTTCTTCATTCCTGGAGATAAATAGTCCGCTTCTTTCTTTTAAATATTGTGAATTCTGAAAATCAGTTTCAGTAAATTCATTTAATCAAATTCACTGTAGCAATTTAATTGTTGTTTTTTTATTGATACTCAAAGGTGGCAAAATAACAAACAATTAATTGATTGAAGGATTCTCAAAAAAAATCCGAAAAAATCCAACTTATTATTACCTTGCATTATCACTCTACATTATAATTCATACGCGTTTTTTCCAGAATGTCTTTATACCAGAAAACCACTATATTAATATGGTCTTACAATCTGAAATAGAATTCTTCCTTACTCTTACTGTGTTGCATATTTATTTGACATCCCAATATGGGAAAGTGCGGATTGAATAAACAGTTCATTTAAGAATTTGGGAGGTGTCTGGCTGCATGACTGCTGTTTTAATATCTTTAATTATCTTCTATAAGAAATATTACTCTAATTATTCTATCCCATATAACTGTTCCTATAAATTGATAACTTAACTACAGTATATATATCATTCATCAAACAAAATATACAAGATGACTCCCTAGTCCTGCAATGGGGATGGGGCTACACCAGGATGTAAAATATGTTGAAATATATACTTGAACTTTTCTGCTTTGTCATTCTTCCTCAGGGGGGCCTAATTGACCTGCTTAGTCGTGGGGATTTAGTCACTGTGGTTGTATGATTATAATTGCCCCGGTCGTCAGTGGAAAATGTGCTTTCAATTTGATTCTGTCATAACCAGTGAACTCTAATAAGACTGGAACGATAACTCGGCCGCCATCTTTGAAGCCAAATTGAAGGCCGCCATTGGAGGTACGGCGGCGAAAATACACCTCTTCGAAAAACTCGGATTTCTGCCTTTCTAGCTATGCTAGAACATAGATGAAAAGCTAAAAAACATCTACGATACTTGGACTATTGCACAAATCATGTTTGGAAGCCGTGGAAAAGACTTAACGTTATTTTTTGTGTACCTGAAAGTCGTATTTTATTCGGCACGGAAAATATTTTGTTATTTTCTTGAATACAAAAATGGTACCTTTCGAGATTTTGCTGTTAGTGGATGTAGAATACTTAGAACTATCCAGAAAACCAAGTTTGAATCTTTGAAATTGAAATCTTCGGACGAAAAACCTAATTTTTCGGCGTATTTTTGCTAAAAAAAAACAAAATTATGAGGAAATTGAATTCTCCCCAGTTCTTTTTTGAAAGTCACAGCGCGCGAACTTCTCCCGGACGCGAAATCACAAATCGCAAATCACGGGGGATTTCTACGAAAAAATCGATTTATTCACGTTTTAGAGAAGTCAAAAAGCACTCAAAATAAACAACTATACCTAGACGTTAATACAAAAAGGTATTGGTCCGTAGACTTATGTTTTAAAGTTGTTTTTTTTAGTTAAAGAGCAAAGTTCACGTCGGCACGTTCAACTAGTGTCGTTTTTATGAAAACAAACCTGATGCCCTTCAAACTTTTGCTGTTGTAGGATGCAAAGCAGTTCTAACTATCAAATAAATCCTATTTGGGTTTTTAAAATTGAAGTCTTTTGATGAAAAACGACTTTTCTTTCGTCGAAAATAAACTTTGACTGAATTTTCCACTCCTCGAAACTCTCCTTAGTCCTTTTAAAAGTGCAATTTCCTTGCACGGTTGGCTTCAGGCAAGTATGGGCATGTTTACCTGAGTTATCGTTCCAGTCTTATTAGAGTTCACTGATCATAACAGAACACTGAACTCACGACCAGTCTCATTTCTGAGTCGGTAGTAACACTGAACCAATGAGAAATCACTTTTTATTCGACCTCTGCATGGGGAGCTGTCTAGAATACAATATGTATGTTTAGGCTTCTTGAGGAATGCTCAGTTACATTTGAAAAGGTAGGAGAAATGTCAACAGCGAGTGTTTGGAAACCCAGGAGCTACGGGAACCGGAACTACAGGAATTACAGGATCGAAGAACTACAGGATTTTCAGGAACAATATAACTCATAATAATTATTTAATTACTCGTTAATTTAATTTTTGCGGATAATTAGCAATTTTCCACCTAAAACCACTAATAATGATAAATTATGATACTGATAAATATAGCACCTGGAAGTGCATTCATGTAAGTGGTTATATTTGGTTTTGGACTGGGATGTTTGATACTGGCCATTGTATTTATTTCTAAAATGAAGAGGTTTTTTTTAATAATAATAAATAATAATTAAGCTTTAATCGAACCCACTAAAATTTACAAAACTACGTTAAAACCAAAATAGTAGATATTACAACCATCTAACGCTGGTTTCAAATGAACCTATTGACTGAAGATGTGCTTGTAAGTTTAGTTTTACACCCGTTTCCAAAACTGGGCGGACAACCGGGAAATATTTTCAGTTCAAATACCAGTTTCATGCTATACGTGCGTTTTCTGAAACAGATTTTTCTATACACAATATTTAAATTATACTTTAGAATGCAGATAAACTGAATGTAAGTTATGTAAATACCACAACTCAGCCACTAACCTGTTTAGTCTAGCCTTCCAGCAACTCAAATCTAAAGAGTCTGGGATATGCTATCCACTTGGAAATTTATGAAATTTAAAGGTGATGTAAAATACGTTCTGCGCACGCCAACATTCCAATGGTCGGGACCCGACCATTGAAATGTTATTAATATTGCGCATCTTCCGAACTTTCTTGAATTGGATCTCTAGTCTGTATACATTTACAAGCAGAGCGAACCAGAAGAGTGTTAAAACTTCAGTATAATATATATCTAATCATATTTTACAACTGTAGCACTGAGTTTGTTTTGTTTTACAACTGTAGCACAAAGCGTTTGTTTACATTACGGACTTTACAGCACCTTTAAGGTATTTACAACACAATGTTTAGCATTTTTAAAAAGACATTGAATAATTTGAAGATAAAAGACATAACATAAGATTCACCAAGCAAATTTCAATTACTAGAATATTAAACCTCCCTTCTAATTCCATTTTTCTTTCAATGTTTTGCTTATATTTTAGAGTAAAGGGACTTTGACTGGGTGGAGAGGGCAAAATGGTTACGTAGGAGGGGGACATCATGGGGGCTGGGGGCCAGTGGGAGGGGGGTGCTTGGCCCCCCAGTTATCTAGTTATCATGGCCCCGACTTTCGCTTTTCATCTTGAACAAACGTTTATTACGATTTACGACAGCAGTGTGGAAACTGGAAATGCACTTCCACGCGCTATATTTATCTCATAATTTATATTTATTAGTGGTTTTAGCGGGAAAATTGCTAATTTTCCCAAAAATTAACGAATAATTAAATAATTATTATGATTTATGTTGTTCCTAAAAATCTTGTAATTCCTGTTCCTGTAGTTCCAGGGTTTCCAAACAGCAAAAACAAGGGCGCGCTGATTGGTCAAAATCTAAAAAAAACAGTGTTTCTGTAACTCGATAGAAACGCAGGGAAATTCCACACGGCTTGCGTGGATTCCGCGGGGAGTTTAAAAGACAAAATACAAACAGTATTTCATTTTTTAAAAAAGTTGGAAAACGAGCAAAAATGCCGAAGAATCGTCACAAAAGCGCTTGCTAACTTAGAAAGCGAAGACCTGAAGCACAAAGCACGTAGTATAATACAGCATACGTTTTATCTGTTTGACTGATTACCAAGTAAGATGTTTACCATCGTTTATAATTAATATTTGAATGAATGTAATTAAAATCAATATATTTATCTTTTTATGTTTTTAAAAGGCTATTTAATAAAGGAAATAGAAAACATTTTTCCGTGTTCCTATAGAGTTATAGAGACCCGAAAAATGTTGTCTATTTCTTAAATAAATGTCAAACAATTATTGCTCAATCCTATTCTTCTAGGACTCACAGCAATGGGGAGTTGATGCAACAATCTCTTTGATAAATCGGGTTTCATACACTTTAGGTTTGCATTGAGAGCAGCATGCACAAATGAGATAAAAAATCATAGTAGCACTGACATATTCCATTTCTCAATTTTATCCAGTTATATATTTCCTTCAAATAAATTAAATGATGGACCATGCATTAATTACTAAAATTTTTCCTTTTCTTATACTTCTAAAATTATACAGGCTAGACATTTGCCATTTTAAGTAGTTCAGTTGTGTGTATATTATGATTTTATTTTATGATGATATCAATAATTTTTCATGTTCTCTAATCCAAAGAAAGTGCAAGGCTACGTACAAATGTTGTTATGACACTGCGACCATGTGTCGTGTTTTAGCAGCTGAACTTCGTTCTTGCAGAGCAGTGGCATATACACACATACGGAAACCTTACCAGATCATGAATAGGGTAATTTATAGCCTGCATGGCAGGCGGTCTAAAATACCGCCTGCTGGGTTTCGCAGTGTAATTTGATAACCGCCCACTTTTTTGTCCGGGTCCAATTAGCCAATCAGCAAACACTAAATATATTAATAATCAAACTGTCAAACTATGTTATTGTTTGGTCGCAAAATTGCAAATGTATAAAAATATGTCGAATGAAACGCCATTGAAAGTTTCAGGTAGAAAAGCAAGCGCGGAAAATGTAAATGACTTGTCGTTTGTTTAAGTGTGCTTTGAAACTAAAATACGGGCAATACGCCAATAGGGAAAATATCTTATATTCTTATATATCGTCGGAGAAATATTTATTTAACGCAAGCAAAAGAAACTTACGACAGTGGCAAAACCGTGGCCGAAATTAGCCGAATTGCCGGTTCAGTTCATTTAGGAATCGAAGTTAATAAGTTAATTCTACCTCGGAACTATCCGACCAAGTTTGTAAACCGTGTGAGCGAAATATCCGAAATGCAAGCGAACTGATTGCCATAATCAAACGAGACATAAACGCGTTGCCTGTGTACGTAACAAATAGACAGTTGTATATTAAAAACCTCAGTTGCCAATATTAACTGTCTCATCTCCCTAACGAAGCTGTGTGGTAACGAAAGCCTTAAAAAGTTCAGAAAGTGAAGCGGCTAATAGGCCTATGCGTAATAGTCCTGTTATTGTTATAAAACCCGTTGCAAGAAAGACTATACCGCCGTCTGTATCTATTCTTGTTATATTTTCTCGCGCCAACAAGAACAATGTAAAAATCAGGCTTTTCCCATAGAATGGCCAAAACATTCTTTCCAAGGAGTAAATCTTTAACTGCTATCTCTTGCTCGCGTTTGACAATCAGTTCGCGTTTCGACTTTCGAGAAGCGTTCAGTTTTACAACACCTATTAATTAAAGCGAACGCATGCACATTAAAGTGTCAAACGTATGTTTACATATTAAAGTGTATTTACTTTTGAGTGACAGCGGCTCAGACTCGCAGCCAATCATCAATTCCCGTCCACTGGTGGACGGGGAATTCGATTACACTGCCAAACCCAGCAGGCGGTATTTCCCAGGCTTGCCCAATTTTAGGAACCGCCTGCCATGCAGGCTAACTTTAAGCCGGTTTTTCACTTCAACCGTATCGTAGCGAAGCGTATTTCTTTGTTTCCTGACCACTAGAGTGGAAATAATGATTTCGAAACACAAAAGAAAATGCTACGATACGGACGAG